TTGCTGGGATCCAAATATTTAAGGAAATCTGTTGCACGAGCACAGCAACAAAGCAAACTCATGTGTCTCAGCTTCTCCTGGGCTAGTCCTTGTCCAGCTCCCTCATTTTTTTGATGTCTTAAAACTAGGGTTTTCCACTGTGATGGAGTTAATCTCATGGCCAAAGCTGGGCCCCCTGAAACCTCCTCTCACCCACTTTAAAACACTACACTGGCACTTTCTTCAAAATAAGCTGCTTTTTTTTTGGCTTTTATTTCCCCAGGAGAGGACATTTGTAGGTGCTAGGGTACCCAGTTTTTGTTTCAGGGGCTTTGTTCAGGTTTGCAGCCACAACAAGGGTTTTCCCTAATGTGCCAGTGCCCATCACTTGATCAGCAAGGGGGCTTCACCTCCCTTCCCTGCTGAATGTTTTTCCCACTCCCAAAAGGGCGTGTTTTTTTGTTTGGTTGGGTTTTTTTAACCTCCTTTTCCTATTAACTTAATTGCCTTTTCCCATTTCTCAGGATGGAGAAAGGAGGTACAGAGAAGCCAGTGCTAGGAAAAAAATTCGGCTGGACCGGTGAGCACCAGAACGAGTGGGATGTGGGGATGGAGGAAGGAGGAAAGGGGGGCTCAGCACTGGGGGGCAGGGACAGTCTGGGGGTGGTTTGTGTCCCCTCATAAGGGAAGCTGTTCCCTTGCTGCAGAAAATACGTCGTCTCCTGCAAACAGACTGAGGTGCCGCTCTCCGTGCCCTGGGACCAAAGCAACAAGGTAGGAGGATGATCCCCATGGGAGCTGCTGCCTCCTGCTCCTCCTGCTCCCCCTCCTGCCCCTGACACGCTGTCCCTGCCCCAGGTTTATCTGAGCTACAACAACGTCTCCGCGCTGAAGATGCTCGTGGCCAAAGCGAACTGGGTGCTCGCCAGAGAGAAGGAAAAGGTACTGAACGCTGTCCCCTCTCCCTCGGCCCCAAAGCATGGGCAATCCCGGTGGGAACGGGTCCCAGCTGTGCCCTGTGCTCCCCGAGGTGCGGATGTACACGCTGGAGGAGGACAAGTTCCTGTCCTTCCGCATCGAGATGTCCGTCTGCATCCCGGCCGGCCGAGCCTTCTCCCTGCTCTCCAACCTGCGGCGCCGGCACGAGTGGGACAGCCACTACGTGTGAGTGCTGCAGCCTCCCCACCATCACACCCCCAAGCTTCAGCCTCGTGGTTGAGCATCCCTTTGGGCTTTCCTGGGAGCCAGTGTGTCGCCTTGCCTGCTCCTAGAGACCCTCACACGGTGTGTCCCCGTCCTGGCTCCATCTGGGCTGATGGCTGCGCTTTGCGGGAGCAAACATCTGTTTTGGGTCACCCCAAATATTTTGGGTCTGGTGGTGGGCTGTAAATGTGTAAGGCCCAGATTCAGGGGCACAGCAGGGTTTCTGTGACCGGTCCCCTTCCCTTACAGGAGTGCTGAGCTTGTCCAGAAGGTCGACGACGACGACATGATCTACCACGTGGTGAGCCAGAAGCTCAGGAACGAGAACAAACCGCAGGACTTTGTTATCCTGGCGTCCCGGCGGAAGCCCTGCAGCAAGGGGTGAGTGTCCAGCCCGACCCCTGCTCCCTGCCATCCAAGCTGTGCCAGCTCACCGGGCTCTCCCGTCCCCAGGGACCCCTACGTGGTGGCCTTTCGGTCGGTGACGCTGCCCACCCACCCCGCCAGAGCCGAGTTCACGCGCGGGGAGACGCTCTGCTCCGGTTTCTGCATTTGGCCAGAGTCAGAGGAGATGACCAAGGTGGGATGGAGTGTTTGTGCTCCCACAGCCCGTGGGGGAGGCTCCTCCCTCCCCCGTGCCCCTGCTGACCTCATCCTGTGCCTCGCAGGTGGCTTATTACAACCAGGCTATGCCGGGGTACCTCACCTACGTCACCACCAACGTGGCGGGGCTGTCCTCCGACATCTGCTCCACCTTCGAAGCCTGTGAGAAGTTCCTGCTGAAGAATAAGGAGGACCTGATCTCACGGCTGCAGGACTTCTAGAGCCACGGCCCCCTGCTGACAGATGGACAGACAGATGAGGGGACACTTCTGTGGTGGAAGGGAACGTGGGATGGTGGCAGCCAGACCCTGCCTCCCTGGGGGTTTGGTCCCAGGGGCTGGGGTGGAGGGCATTGCTGTACCACCTCATCCCTTGCACTGATGTGTCATACCTTTTCTTCTTTCTTTTTTAAAAAATTTATTTAGAAATTTTATAAGCTGATGTACAGGACTTGGTTTTCTAGTTCACTTAACGCTACTTGAATCTTTATGCTATCCAAAATTCTTCCCAAACCAGATTATTTTTTTCACTAGTTCTCAGTGGGGCATAACTGGTTCCTTTTGAGGCAGCAAAGGGAGAAAGGGGGCAGTGATGTGGGGTGGGTGCTGTACCCCTCCCTGGTGTAGGGGTGGCTGGTGGAACGTCCCACTCTCCCAGTGCTGCTCCTTTTCCTGGGCAGAGCTGGCAAAGAGCCCCTGCTCCTCCTGGGCTGAAATCCCACCCCATGGGGCTGTGGAAGGAGCAGAAATTAAAGTGTTTTGAAAGGACAGGCACCCATATCTGCTCTGGGTGAGTGTCTGCTCCAGGGGCTTGCTGTGTGGTGAGCTTGGAGCAGGGATCCTGCACCCACAGCTCACCTGGGGCTCAGGTGGACGTGGGGTCCTTTGAGGCAGGACTGTGCTGCAGGAAAGGGGTGATGCTCCCTGCAAGTGGCTTTTGGAGACTGCCTGGAGGTGTGGCTCTCATGCCTGGGACTGCCCTCCTTGTCCCCCTCTGCTGGGTGCACCAGCACCTTGAGATGTAAACCCCAAACTGCCTCAGAGGTGCTGAAACAGGAAAAGACAGAGCCAAACCTTGCTCCCCTAAGTCTGGGATGCTCTGGGAAGGGCACCAGCATGAAGCAGGGGTGACAGTGGAAGTGCTGCTCATCAGTCACAGCACAGGGGACATCTGCCCTCAGCCACAGGCCTGGGAGAGACCCCTCCTCAGCTTCCCTGGGTCACACAGCCAGAGGTTTTCTGATGGCATTGAGGTTTCTGGAAGAAAATGAGCAAGCCCTGGAAGCCCTTAGGCACGCAGAGCTTTGGGCACAGCAGGTTCTACACGTGCCAGCTGTGCCCTTGCCTCTGCCTGCAGAGCCCCGTGCTTAACCCCAAGCATGGGTTTTGTAGAGCTTAACCATGAGCAAGTGATGGTGATGCCATACTGGGGTCACCAGAAATGACCACAGGGTCTTTTCCAGGTGTCCCTTTTCAACACCCAGTCCCTTTGCCACCCAAATTCCCCACCCAGTTTATAAGCAGAAGGAGCTGCTGCCCCTCTCCTGTGGCCACCAGGCAGTGGCTCCCACCCCTGGCTGTGGCCATAAACCCCTAATCTCTGCTGCATCTCCCATCATAAACATCTCAGCTCAAGGCCTGGCACAGCTGGGCCCTCACCTCCAACAGATAAAGCCATCTTAGGCTGACCATGGTACAAAACATTCAATTTTTATAGAGCCCTCTTATCTCCCAAAACTGAGAGCAATCCTGCCTTATTATCACTGGGAGGAGAGCCATCCTTTCTCCTTCCCGTTAGGAATTGCTGCTGCTTGATTAAGTGGAGGGGATGATGTATTTGCCTGAACATTAAACTTTAACTGACCTCTCCTTCTCCTTAAGTATTGTGCTTTTTCCCGCTGGGAGGCCCCGGTCAGCCCTGGCTCCAGCCTGGCTGGGTCCCGGGGGTGCAGGGTGATGGAGCAGGAGTGACCTGGGGGCACTTCTGCAAGAAAACTGCAGCCCTGCAGCATCTGCTGGCCCTCGGGGGCATGGCCAGCAGGGCTGGGCAGCCTGGAGCATCCCTGGAGCACCCATCTCCACTGCCTCATCCCACAGAGAAGGAGGGACCGCTCTAGGACCAATTCAGCAATCAATCACCATTTTTCTTAATCTCTTTAAAAAAAACAAGGGAGTTACCCCCCTTCTCTGAGCAACCTTCCAACCTGCAGCTTTGCATGAAAACACCTTGGAGCTCTGGCTGCTAATTCCTGCATGGAGGCAAAGCATTTGGAGAGGCAGATCTGGGGCCTTGGGAGCAGCAGGGCTGTGTGCTGGCTGCTGGCATCCCTGCCCAGGATGATGCAGGGAACAAAGCCCCACCTAAGCACCACGGCTGCCTCCCTGGGCCCCTGGAGGATGGAAAAATCCCCAAAACACCCAAGAAGCTTTTGGAAAAGAAAAGGCCATGAATACAGCTGGGGATTTACAGGCCAGCACTCCAGGCTGGATGTGGGCGCCTTCTCCGGTGTGCTGCCATCATGAGAAGGTTTAAGGAGCTGATTTTATGGATGCCTAAATAAATACCTGGAGCTAATATATCACAATACAGGGCACATTTATCTGCTTTGCCCGAGTGGGATAGAACTAGACGGCAGTGTCTCTCTCAAGGCCAGCCCTGCTGTAATTCATGCCCCGAGGCAGCCAGCCGAGGGGAGGAGGAGGAGGAGGAATTCTGCAGGCAGCAGTATTGATGGGCTACTCCCAGAAGCTTTGTTTTAATTAATTTTCAGAGTGCTCCCTGCAGTGGATCAGGCAGCTCCTTCGAAGCCTCCTTCCACCCACTGCCTGTGCTCTTGTGCAGGGTCTGGGGCAGCGGGGTGAGCCTGGGAGCCCCCCTGCTTTTGGTTAAGCAGGGCAGAAGCTGTTGTTGTTTTTAAACAAGAGGGCTTCCCCCTGGCCAAGAGGCCTCTGGTGGCCACAGCGTGGGCAGGTGGATTTGTCACAGCTTTTCTCTTCCCCTTTTTATTGACTTTCTGCTTGTTCCTGCTGCCAGGGGTCAGTGGGGCGTTGGCTGGACTTTGCCAAAAGTCCACCCCAGCCATGTGGCTCGCAGGTGCTGACGCAGAGCCCTGCCCTGAGATACGAGGGGACTGAACAGCGGCTTTGCAGCCCGGTCGGGTGTGTGGCGGTGAGGCTGGAACGGGGCTGTGCCAGCTCCAAAGCTTTCTCTGAGTAAGCAGGTTTGTGAACCTGAACTGCATTTGCCCTGCGAGCAGCAAGGTGACAGCAGCAGCCACAGCTCAGCGCCGAATTCGGGGTGACCTGGCTGACACGAAGGGACCTGTCCCCATCCAGGACGCCATGGCAAGTGACACGGAGCCCTCCAACACCATCAAACTGCTGCACCTGCTCTTCCTCTCCACCTCCTGGGGAATGCAGGTGTGGGTGACCTTCGTGGCCGGTAGGTCGGGCTGTGCTGTGCTCTCTGCCCAGGGGGGTGGCACAGGGCACGGGGCTTTGCCCCAGGACTCTCTCTCCCTGCTCTCCCCTCGCAGGGTTTGTGATGAGCAGGCACCTCCCTCGCCACACCTTCGGCTCCATCCAGCGGCAGCTCTTCCCCTACTACTTCCACATCAGCTCCACCTGTGCCTTCCTCAACCTGACCCTGTTTGCCATGTCCCACCCCAGCGAGCGCCTCGGCGAGCAGCACATGACCCAGGTAGCCTCCCCCTTCCTCACACTCAGCCCAAACCCCTTCCTCTGCTCCTCTGGCTGGCTTGCAAACCACGGAGATCCACGCACAGTTAAAAGAACCCCACAAGCACCCAAACTGCAGCGAGCCAGGGGGCCTGGGGGAGAAATTTAACCCACCACACGCGGGGCGGCTTCGCTCCCCGCAGATCATCGTCTTCCTCGTCTGCGTCGCCGCCGCGGTGCTGAACACGCAGTGGTTTGGGCAGGTGGCCTCTGACTTGGTGGCCGAGCTGCAGCTGGTGGAGCAGAGCCAGGGGCTGGGGCAGGAGGTGGGGCTGGCAGCCAGCGAGCCCCGCAGGCAGCTCCGTGCCTCCAACCCTGGCTACAGGCAGCTGGCCCGGAGCTTCGCCCTCTACCACGCTCTGTCCTCGCTCTGCAACCTCCTGTGCATCGTGTGCAACGGGCTGAGCCTCTACCACCTGGCTGGCCAGCTCTCTGCCCTCTGAGGGCACTGCCAGGGGATGGTGGACAGTGCCCAGCCCCTGCTGCCTCGCTGTAAAGCAACCCCCAGCTTTGGGCATTAAAGTGCAGCATCCTCAGGTGGAGATACTCTTGCTGTGTTGAAATTTAGGAATAGTGAAATGGAAATGTTTTCTCTAGAGCTGCCTGCAGCCAGCCTCTGTGATTGAAGCAGGAGTGTTTTATGGCTGAACAGCTTTCTAATGCCCCGTGCATTGGCTGTGTCTAAAGCTGCAGTGTATTCCTGCAGAAGAGAAAGCAATGAGAGATTGAGAATTACTTCTGATTAAAAGCCAAGCGCTAATACAGAAGTGCAGAAGACCCTGCGTGTTGGCTGTACCAGTTAATGCAATGGATAAGGGTGTTATGTTGGGGTTTACAATCAGTGTCTGTCATTCTCTGGTATTTCACAAAACGTTGTCTCATTCATTAGGCAGAAGTCAGTCTACTTAAAATAGCCATGTTTATTCCAGGTTCTGTAGGATGTTCAGTAAGGTATCAAAAGGGTCAGTCAAACACTGCTCCAAACAAAGAGCTCTGCTGTAGCCTGGCCAGCAGCACAGCCAAGCAGGGACAAAACAGCAGCTGCTGTCCCAGGCAGGCACCTGACTGCACTGACCCTGCTGCAGCAGGCAGCTATCTCCCCAGGCCACTGCTGCTGACCCCAGCAGCCACAGCCCACCTCCGAGCAGATCTGTGATTTTCTCAGGTAGGGAAGTAGATTCCCAGCTGCTGTTACTGCAGCCACAGCCAGTGTTTGGCACTGCTTCAGGCTTATTTCAAAACCACATGCAGCCTATCATAGAGGAGACCTTCTGCAAGCCAGCTGGGTTCCCTTTTAAACAAATAATCCCCTCATGTTAGCCCTTCCTTCTCCTGTGCTGCTCCCCTGGAAGCTTCCCTGTGTGCCAAGATTGTTTTCCTCCCCTGAAGAGTGCAAGGTATTTTTGTTCAAGCAGAAGTCTGCAGCCTGGAGCTGGGCTAACAAACAGCAGCCTCTTGCACAGGATTCCTTGTTTCTTTCTTGCTCATTACAGTCGATGCACTTTCTTGCCAGAGAAGTATTTCTTAGAGAAAGGAGAACGCTTGGCAAACACCAAAACTGTCGGGGTCCCGGCCTTTACAAAATACCTGCAAAGATTAAAAGGAGTCCTTGGCTTTCTTGTAGCTGGCCCAGTGTCCTGCAAAGCAAGTGACTCCTGCCCAGCTCCATAAAGACTGACCTCCCAAAGGCTGGTGGCGAGATTTTGTGCTGATTAGCAGAGCCTCTTGGAGCCAGGGCTAAGCACATCTGAGGAGGAGTGTTTTATGAATCAACTCCTCTCCCAACAGCTTCTTTTAATAAAGGCAGCTGTTATTCTCCCTCTGGAAGGAGGGCTCTTTTGCAACTGCCCTTACAGCCTGAAATCTGAGGGCCTATGGACACTGCTGAGTTTTATGGGGTGACAGAGACCCTGCTCCCACTGCGACAGAGCGAGCCCCCGACGCTGTGCAGCAGCTCCAGCCAGCTACGAGATGCTGCAGCTCAACAGCACAGGCTGCACAGGAACTTTCTGGCTTCCCAAACAGCAAATTCCTCTCTCAGTAACAGCACAACTCTTGAAAGGCAGTTTCAGAGCAGAAGAGTGCAGCGTGCTGCACCAGGGGCTGCTCACGCAGCAGCAGGAACAGCGAGAGCATTGTTAACCTTCAACATGCTCTTTATAGCCTGCTGCCTGTTTTTCTTCTTCTTTTCTTTTTTTTTTTTTTTTTTTTAAAGTAGTATTGTGTAGATGGGATCTGGAATAGCTCTTCTGTGCTGCTCAGCTGTGCCCAGCTCCCTTTCCCATCTCCATCCAGTCCTGGAAAGAGTTATTTTTTTGGGGGGAAAACACAGGTCAGTTGCTAAAGCCAGGCACAAAATCCATGCAGCTTTATACCTTCAAGAGGCAGAACTATTAAGTCAGAGAAAAGTTAGGACTATTTAAGAACAAACTCATACTTTTTGCCTTTTTTCCCCTGGACATGGACAGGTACAGCCTCACCTTTCGTGCTGCAGCACTTGTAGCAATGTGTGTTCTGGGTTCACCTCATACATTTCTTCTCTTTCTTCATCTTCAAAATAGAGCTGGAAAAAAAAAATTTGGGGATTATTAAATGCCTAAGGTACATGAAGGACAGCACTAAGCTGCTGAAAGCCCAGTAACAGCACACCATTATCAGCTGAGGGTTTATCAAACCTCTGTCACCTGACCCAACTGTTGGATACAAAATTCAGCAAGGCAGAAATTGGTTTGAATTCCAAGTTTTGTGTGAATTCCAAGTTTTCCCTGTATAAAGCAGCTTAGGCTCTCCTGGCAGCAGGAAGGCAAAATACACAGGCTGTTTCCATGCTTTACAGGCAATCAATCCAAATGTAAGGGCTGCATTTCTACAGGTGAAATGCAGCAATGTTGTGAGATAAACTGAGTGGGTTTAGAGGTATTTGAACAAAACAGAGTTGATTTAAGAGATTAAAATCCAGCAATGGTGCCTTAGACTGTAAATACACACAGGATTTAACCTGGAAAAGTACACAGCCACTGTCCTTCTGGACCTGTCTGCTCACTGTGCACAGGGTTGTGCTGCTGCTGCCTGGCACAGATGACACTGAAGTGGAAAATGAAAAATAAACATTCCCATCCTTCTGTGTACAACTTCAGAAAAAGTCTCAAAACCTTCTGCACCAACTCACAACCCTCCTTTGCTAAAGTGTTAATAGAGATACATTATCTAGATCTGATTATGTGCTCACGTAAATCCACTTCGTTCTGAAAATAATAAAAAAAAATACTTTCTTATTTGTACTGAGCAACTCCATGATGCAATTAAAAAACCAGGCCATCTATCAGCCTGATGATTTAGATCTTAATTATTGTTACAAAGATGGAATTAAGCAATAGCTATAAATACCTTCTGTCAAATACAGTGTAAGTGGAAGACAACTTCAATTTTCATTAGTGAATTCTGTCAGCACGTGCAGACAATGTTTGAGTTTATAAGTGAGGGCAGCTCTCTTGTTTTCACATCTGTGCAAGGTAAACAGATGCCAACATTTCCATACCCTCAGAGCTGTACACTTTCTCACTCCAGAAATAAAAAACCCACAACACAACAACCCTGAAATTGAAGGGAAGTCAAAATTCTCACCTCAAGATTGTTGGGAAGGTACTTTTTTTCTAAATCCCAAGGAGGTAACTCAGCAAACATCACCATTAAATGATCAATAAACCTAAAAGCCAAAATACTCTTGGTCAGCTTAGACAAAGTGCTCAGCTTCAGTAACTTGTATACTTGCATTTGAATGATGGCAAAAATACATTAGCAAATTTAACAACAGATTTGAAAGAAAGTTTAGATCACCAATAGTTCCTTTCCTTCAAACTCACTTTCTCAATGAATCCAAGGCCCTGTAACTCAGGTTATTGGCTTCAAATTTGAGCAGTACAACAACTCATTATTAACTTCTCATTTTCATACTGAAAAAGATGTCATCCTGCATTTTGTCCAAAATGGATTTTCCTTCAACACAGTCGCATGCTTCACCAGATCAGAGTGATGAGAATATGTCTGTGTGTCAAAGCCTTCTTTATTTTGGTACTTGAGGAGTGTTGGGAGGCCAGTTTGTCCTAAAAATCCATTTCCACTTCCTTTAGTCACAAAAAAGCACACTACCATGTTCACAAAAAAGTGAACACTACCATAAAAGTACTGCAACTTCACCAACCTGCTTGCACTGTAATTTTAAGTCCTAAACTTATTAGTAAATCTGAGGAATATGTCTTCCAACAAACAAAAAGCTACAATTCCAAGTCTGTTTAACATTACAAGATGAGAAATTGAAGTTAACATCAAGGAGAGTGGAATTCTGAGCTTGCCAGTCACTCCCAGTCTGAAAGGTCTGCAGCACTTCAGATCTGCTGAGGCCCTGAGGAGAACTTTGAGGTCACTGCTGGTTATGAGAGGTCCCCTTTGGAAGCTTCTCATAATTTTAAACTTTTTTTTCTGAGATATATTTGGAGGGCTTTGAAACAGCACCTTAATGAATCTCTAAAATCCACACATGGTCACAGGTATCCCTGGCAACTAATTAATTACTGGTCTGAGTAATTGAACTGCAAGCCCCTTCAGTCACCCTGGATAAATGTGTTTGTCTGCAGCATAAATTTAGGTAAATCACAGAATAATTCAGGTGGGAGAGGACCTCAGGAGCACATCTAGTGCAGCCTCCTGCTCGAAAGCAGGGTCAGCTCTGTGATCAGAAATCTGGGACTGCTCCAGCATGGCAGTGTTTCACTTGCTGCTGTTCTCATCTCCTCAAACACCTGCAGGAACGCTGCTGGCAGTGCATTTACCTGGAGTTCTCGTGGAAAGCCACAGTGAAATCTGTCTGCTCGTGCTCAGGGTACAGGAAGAGGACAGGCCAGCTCAGGCTGCCATCAGCATCCAAGTGCACCTTGGCCCCCGTGGCACTGCCAGAGTGGAACCCATCCAAGGATATCTCAGCCAGGCCATCTGACACTTCCTCCTCTTCATCTGAAGGCTCAAGAACCAGCTTGATATTTCTTTCCTGGAGGGGATGGAGGGGAAAGACCAAAACCCAACTAAAAATTGAACAGTTATGGTGGGGAGAATAAGAACAAAAAATTAGCAGTCAGTAAAAGGTCCAATTATGTTGTCCTTATTAATGAGTCAGCTCCAAAGCTTTCCCTCAGTATCAGACTCAGGTGACTGGACTTCCCAGTAGAATCCAGAACCTCAGCCAGACATCCATAAACAAATGAGGAGAGGTGGGAATCCAAAGGAACCCACGTGTGGAGAGAAGAGCCTGAGAAAACACATGGAAAGGGATGCATCTAAATCCTTTTCTCTGTGGCCTGCCAGGCACCACTCCAGGGTGCAAATACACACACCAGTTCCTGAGAACATCTCCTCTTTCAGAGAACTGAAGAAAGCTCACTCTTTTCCTTGGAGAAAGGAAAACAGCAGAAGAGATCTGACTGTATGTAAAAG